TATGGCTTTCAGACATAGCCTCATGGCAGGCAGTTCTCAATGGCATTTGTGCACATGGTAGGCACTTTGCCTCTGGAAGTGCTGGGGGAAAGCACAAAACCATTGTTTAATCCTATTACAGACAAGTGTATGTTACCCCACGCCACCCTCTCTCTGCTGTCCAATGCTCGGGGAACAGAGATTGAGCACTGGCCTCATATCACTCCCTTTCCTTTGCGGAGTCTAAAACTGACTGATCATCCTGGGCCCCTGGCCAATGTAATTTGGGGTAAGTTTCTATATTTGGGGTGAAAAAGAAAGAAATACTTCTCTGATAAATTCATTTTTAAAAGGCATATGTTTGAAGATGCTTAAATGTTTGGAGCATGAGACTAAGACCTGGGGAGATGGATTAGTAGGCAAAATGCAGGTACAGCAAAGTAAATAAAACTATCACATGGCTGTGCATATACATAAATACATTTTACTTGTATGTTAACTGCCTTATATATGAGATTTTTGCTTACTTTACATAAATTATAATAGCAATAATATGGAATAAATTATTTGTTATTTATATAGATGTCATGAGCATTTCCATAGGAGTTTAACATGGATTAATGTGAGGAAGTATTTAAATGCTTTATCCCTTAGATCAAGAATTTTAGATGTCCTACATATAGAATAAGTTAGTATTCCAAAGGTTAAAAAGAACAGTGGGACAAATTCTGCAGCCCCTACTTGGGTTATAATTTCACTCCCATTGAGGAAGATGGCAAAACTTCCACTAAATTCAATCCTACTTTCATTGTCCATCATCCATGACTCAGACTAAACTCCTATTGACCTCAATGGGAGTTTTGTCTGAGTAAAGACTAAAGGATTTGCCACAGAGACAATATATTATCTAAAAGTTTTACAGTTGTCACTTGTACTGTCTGAACCCTGGTTTTCAGAAGTGATAATAATCTGCTGCCAAAGAAAAATGCCTTACATGCTATAGGGCATTATCTGTAGGAGAAAAGAACCCTTTCTAGTAAAACCAGATTGAAATCAGTTCATGTAATCTTGTGTGTGTGTATGGGGGGAATTACAAATGATGGTCACTGATGGGTTTCTATTGCATACATATATAAGTAAAGTCAAGCCTTCCCCCCCTTAAAAAAGTTTTGAGAAAACTATAGTAAAAACATAAACCAAGCTGTATATACAAAAATACACCATCACAAAACATTTGAGACTTCATTAATTACTCGGCTCTAGGAAAGAACACCTTAGCATTAGTAAGAGGGGAAGCCAAAGGGTAACCAGTATCAACTCTTCAATTTTGGAGGCAGTTCTATGCTGAGGTGTAGCTCATGTAGATAAAAGCAGCCTGGGGGTTCTTTCCGTGAAGGTTCTTCAGGTTTTTTATTGGTGAAGGAAGAGGGAACAATAATACTTTTTCAGCCAGACCCCCTCCTTGATCCCCTTCCTGCACTAAGATCATGAAACTTACGGTGGGGATTCTGTACAGAAAGAGTGGCACCTTTTCAGAAGCATCTCACTTTCTCTCAGTTCCTGCAGCTGGGAACTGTTGGATGTCTGAACCTTCTGCTGACAGCAGCAGAAACGATATGGCTCACTGGGAGGGCAATATGGCTGCAAAGGCTTTCCTGGCTGTTGCCGTGGCCTATAAGATCTTCTTTATGGGTAGTTAGTTCTATGTATCGTTTTTGCATATTCCTTAACTTTTGTAAAAAGACCTCCAAGTCTCACCATTGGCTCTCTCTTCTGTACCACATCAAATACAGCTTCTGGGTCTCACCTTTAGGTTCTTTCACAATTTAGCTCTGCCCAACTTATCCATTCTTATATGTTATCACACTCTTCCCGTCCCTTCCACTCTACAACATTGCCAGCTTCCATTGCTCATTTCTTTCACAAGCACCTCCATGGTTTCCTCCATGCTGCTTCTTATGCACAGAACCCAATAGAATCATAAGACTGGAAGGGACCTCGGGAGGTCAGCTAGTCCAGTCCCCTGCGCTCATTTTCATTTAGGCCACAAATCTGCCCACTTTCAAATACTTTGAGACCTCTTTTACTGTAATGCCTATAGAAAACTGCCAATTTATAACTGGTAATTGAATGGACAGTAGAGGACTTACAATATTGTATCTTTTTGTATATCTTAAATTTACTGTTTAAAATTAGCTTCTTCAAAACCAGCTAGCTGTGCATATATCTGGCCTAAGAACCTGAGTTTATATATTAATGTTTCTCTTGTCTCACTTCCTTCCTTCAACTTGATTTTTACAATCACTTGTGTCTTCTTTTAAATAGATAATACATTTTTGGGAAAAGGGACCATCATTTACTTTGTGTTTTCACAATATACAAACAGGTGATTGGACTAAATACAAGGACAACACGGTGAAATTCTACAGGAGGTCAGACTAGATGATCTAATAGTATGTTCTGGCCTTAAAAATCTATGAATACATAGCATGGTGTGGCCCCAATTCTGAGTGGTGCCTCTAGATACTGCCATAATAAAAATAACAGCAAGTATTTGAAAACTCATACCTGAAAAACTATTTCGGTAATTTATCTATCATCTTTAGGGACTTTTGTGGAAATTATTTTTAAAAAGTGTGTGGTGAGCAAAGCACCATAAAAATAGGGAATATATGTGGTTTTGCAGCTAATTTAATTCCTTTTTAAAAATCTGCCTGCACATGCAAGTCTTCCAATTTCTCTTCCTCTTGGGACGAAGCAAGTCACAGATGTATAGAATAGCTGACAATTTAATAATTTAAAAATATAAATTTAAGCTCAAGTACACTGGAAATTAGTAGTATAAAAGATTAATTGTTAGTAAGCGTGCAGGGGGTAATGCAAACAAGATCATTTAGAGACCAATCATAGTGCTCTGAGCAAAGGGCTCCTCCCAACATTCAATCACAGAAAGAGGCACTCTCATATATGGGCTGCAGTCACCACTGTAGGGTGAACGAGCACTGGACAAAACCCACTGCTTCTCTGTTATGCAGTTTCGTGGATCCAACCTGTGCAAAAACTCACTGGCTGTTCGCAAACCATAGCCCCAACAAATCCACCCTGTACTGCAGAGCAGAGAACAGTTGCAGAGTGCACAGGTGTGTGTGGGCCCACCCACAGAAATGATCACCCACCATGAAGCAGAAACCCAGCTTTCCATGCTGTTTCGGGCCTTGTGCTTCTGCATAAGAGAATATATACATTGAATATATACCTCACAAGCTCTATTCTGCAGTTCTGCAAAGCTTTTATGCACATGCTTAAGTCCCATTCACTTAAATGGGACCACTCACATGCCTAAAATTAAGTATTTGTTTACATGCTTTGTGGAATTGAGGCTATTGTTATTAACAGATCTAATTAAATTTGATGGATTATAGAATTCCAAATAATATAGCCGACATTAAAGACATATCAAATGGAACCTTCAGGTAATAGAAGAGGCAAAAATATAAGTATCATATTATGTTCTGCTGACATTAGAATTTTTTAATCTATGTGCTGTAGTCTGTCAAACAATTATTGTCTTCAGAACTGGTATTATGATAAGATACAGAAAAAGCATCAGAATAGAATTGATTGAGGTAGAATCCTGTCTAGATTGTGTCTATTTAGGGTTGAATACGTGAATATGTGTCTGAAATTTTCTCTATCGAGATACCAAGTAAAGTGATACCATCTAGCAATGTGGGTCCTGTCATTTCTAAATAGAAAGATTATTTCCAATATTATGTAACAAAATGCTTCTCTCAGCTAGTCCCTTATTGATAGAGATTTTTGTGACTTTCAGGATTTCATTTTCAAAAATGAAAATGTACAGTTAAGTATACATATTTGCTGGCCTAGTTTGTGTGAGCAGTTACCACAACGGCATGTTTAAAGTAGGCATTGCACATGCAGGTAGCCAGTTATTCATGCATGCAAATAACTGATTTGTGTGCAGAATGCTGGCGATTACTATGCAAATTACATGCAAGATGGTGTACGAGAGTTTTTGAAAATCAAGGCCTCAGACTAGTAATATGTTCCTTAGACAAATAAGAAGCATAAGCACTAAGGGCTAGATTCACAGAGGGACTTAGGCACTGCGGTGCTCAGACTTGCACCGCCTAAATTGCAGATGTCTAGAAAAATCACAAAACCTGAGTCAGGTGCTCAGGCTTTCTGTACAATGGGAGTTTGGCACATAATTCTGGACTGGAGGGAGGCAATTATCTCTTCTTGGAATTCTCACTAATGAACCCTCTCTTAGACTTAGGTGCCTGCAGTGTGTCTTGCAAGAAGGGAGGGGGAGCTGGATCATAACTTTTAGGTCAGTGGTTAGGGTACTCACCTAGGGTGACCAGACAACAAATGTGAAAAATTGGGACAGGGGGTAGGGGGTAATATGAGCCTGTCCCAATTTTATAAGAAAAAGACCCAAAAATTGGGACTGTCTCTATAAAATCGGGACATCTGGTCACCCTATACTCACCTGAGATGATGAGAGACAGCCCCCATTCAAGTGCCCCCTGGACACTAATTTATAGGGGTTCTAATTTCAGTTTTGATCAATTCCAAAACATATGGAATAGTACCTTCTTATTTTAAAATAGAAAGTGGAGTCAGAAGCTGAGATATACCCAGGCAAAATTCATCCCTGATGTAACCCTATTCACTTCAACAGCATTACACCAGGGATGTATTGGGCCCTCTAAGTTTAGTGAGGGTAAGGTAAAAGTTACAGGTCATAAAGTGAACTAGTTGAAATTTGTGTGGGGGGTGAATCCATTTCCCACTAATTAACTGTAGCATTAAGAGATATTGTATTTAGTAGAATGGAAAAAATAAAACAGATTGGAAATATGTTTCAGTAAAGAAGTTACACTTTTCATAAAGGTTTTAATCAGGGTAGGGTCAGGGAGTTTAAAACATCTGCCTAAAGTTGGCATTACCGACAATCATGTAAGTACTGAAATAAATTCATATTTTCCCCTTAGCTGAATAAAGTTACTTTTGATAAAGAGGCTTCTTCCGTGGAATGAATCCTCATTTGCTTCCAGGATCCAAAGCTTAAAGAAGAAAAAGCCTGAGGTAAGTTACTGTTTTGTTACCGTGGGTGGTGCATGGAAATAGTTATTTTAAACTTGTTGCTTTGTGCTGGAAGTAAGAATTACAATAGAATAAGACTAGATAGAGGTTTGTTGGCCTGATTCCCTACTGTCTCACACCCTGTCTAGTCATTTACACCTGTGTAATTTGAATGTAAAATGACCACCAGATCAAAATTCTTCATTCACTTTAGTTTACACCTAGTTTGCACAGCTGTAAATGACTACACAAGGGCCAGGCATTGGAAATTCAGTCTCTGCAAGTTTCTGATATGTTGGACTATATGGGTTTGATAGTGGCAGTGGGGAAATTTGTTATAACAGAATTAACCAGGTTCAGTTATGTATTGGATGTCTAAAAAGTAATGGATTATGGGCCAAAATAAGTGAATTTGCATGAGATTAAGTAGGGCATTTTTTGTTCCACATTTATATTAAGAACAGATATATCTTAAAGAACAAATGTTTTCAATAGGTACAAACATTTGGATAAGATATTCCTGTAAACAAAGCTTAGGCAAGCTATCATAGTAAAGGGGAGGTTGCAGCTAATTAAACCTGGTAAAGCAGTTAGTGTAAAGTTAGGTCATGTATCTTATTTAAATTGATTGGGATGAGAGCTCTTAGGTATTTCACAGTAGTGGGTCATTTTAAAAAGAGGAACGATATGTTTTATGGGGTAAAAATTAAGAGTAAAAGTTTTCTAATTTGTTTAACCAGTATCTTGTAACCAGATACTTGGCTGCAATGTATTCTTTTTATGTTGCAATTTGGACACTGCTTTGGAATTTTTGCCAAATATCACCTACAATACAGCACTTGTTTATAATCGAGGATCTGCTAGGATTACAGTTGTGAAAATGTGAGAACTCTTTTGTGAGCACAAAGGGGCGTTTCCCCTGGCCCATACTTGGCCTCTGTGCACACTTTTGTCTTTTTCTCAACCTCACCCACATTGCACTGTGCACACACATAAGTCTTCAGCTTTTTAACAGCAGGTATAAAATGCAAATCTGGGGTTCTGCTGAACATACCACATCTGCAAGATAATTTGTTTGTTGTAAACATTTTAGTTGTGAGGTAAATCATTTTTGAGATTTTTTTGTTTGTTTTGTGCCATGTACTATTTTTAACTCTGTTTTGTTATGTACACTTACAGTGGATAAAGTTGTATGTATGTGTGAGAGAGCCAAAGAGGAGGACTGCCCATTGGGTGGAGACTTGGTATTACATCTTTGTAATGTAGGGAGTTGCCATTTTAGATTTCTCTTGTAGGGTCAGGACGCTTAAAGAAGGAGTAAAGAAGTGATTTAAGTTCCTGTGAGGAACAGAATTATCTACTTACACTATACAGTAAGTACAAACCCTTTTAATCTTTTGAAACAAGCTTCTATATAAACTTGTTTTGTACAACTAGAGAGGTTCAGGTGTAGGCATTTCTTTCTAGTAATGCTCATAAATTCTTTGTTTTGCCATTTAACTGAAAAAAATCTTTTAAATGCTGGGATGAAGGAAATATCTTGGATGGATGATGCAAAGAGGAGTAAATACTGCATCCTTTTTAAAGGTGATGTAGCGGCTATTGTCCTCTGCTGGCATTGTGCTCTTACTGGCGGTGGTACTTCTCCATATTTCTCCTAACCTGTGGCTATATGCTGCCACAATTAATTTATTCTTATATGTTCTATTTTTAGTGGTTTACTATACAGTATGATATGTGAATTAAAACAAAATAAATTCAGAAATAGGAAACTTTAGAAAATAGGAATTGCTGTACCAGACCAGTCCAATTCAATGATCCGTCTGATTAATAACCTCTCTGACCGTGGCCACAACCAGATGTTTTAGAATAAGTTACAGGAAATGCTACAGTGGACAATTATGGAATAAACTTCCCAAAAGGGAACTTTGTCCTAGCTGTCTCTGGTAGTGGTTGGTTTGTGTCCTGAAGTAGAAGAATTTATATCCCTTATAAAAAAAATTATCCTCTGTAATCCATATATAACTAGTACTTTTTTGAATTTTCTTAAACTCTCAGCTTCTAATTTAATTTTACAATCAGACAAAATAGAAAATAAACAAACAAAAAAACCAAGAATTGTGAGACAGTAAGTTTCACATACCAGTGAATTGCAAAAGTGGGGCCCAATTCTGCAGCAAAACTTAATTTGACTTCAGAATCATGACTGGCTTTATAATGTGCACTGGAATTTATAAAGCAACAATGTAGGTAATAATGTAGATTTTCTAAAAGCATCAAGCACTATAAGTCCTGCATGACTACATTCTCTTCGAGGCGGAATTCCTCTGTAGAACTATTTTTCAATATTTTCATTATTCAAACAAGTCTGAAGGTGTATCTGCTTTATCAGTAGCACTGTGCCATGGTTTATGAATTTGACTGTACGTATGAATGTTTGCCATTAGTTTTAAAATTAATTGAGTTTACATATAGTATAACAGAATATTTCTATCTACAGTAGAGAAACTTCTTGGTCTGCAGCATAAATGAAAATACATCCATATAGCTATTTACTCAGGCAAAATACAATAGGATTAAAATGCTAAATTTAATTTTTGTCTTTAGGTGCTGTTTTAGAAAACTAGCCTCTAACCAAGAATAAAAATTGTTGTCAGAATAATATGCGAACAGGTAATTTCTTGTAAGTTTATTTTTACTCAGATGTTTATTTATAGTTCACTATAGTTGCACGGATTACAACAGGTGGTGTTAGATTGTTGTGGCTTCTCCTGAGAGCCAACTCTACTCCCGGGGCAGTGGACCAGTGTTTTCAACTTTTGTAAGGAGGGATTGCATTGGCCAATCTTAATACCTCTCAGAAGTTCTGGGGTGAGCTGGCATATGGCCCAGGACTTCTTATAAAAGGAGGCAGGACAAAGCAGATCCTTTCTAATCTACCACCTGACAGTTTTGAGTTCTTTTTCTTTTTTATTCACATGATTGCAACTTTAGGGCAATGTTTGTTGGGTAAAGGGTAGTTAGTTTAGCCCAGGGGTGGGCAAACTTTTTGTCCCGAGGACCACATCTGGATATGGAAATTGTATGGTGGGCCATGAATACTCACAAAATTGGGGGTTGGGGTGGGGGGGTGAGGGCTAGGGATAAGGGATTGAGGGTGCAGGAGGGTGCTCCCAACTGGGACCGAAGGATTTGGAGGGAAGGAGGGGGATCAGGGCTGGGTCAGGGGGTTGGAATGCACAATGTGGTCAGGGGTGCAGGCTCCAGGCGACACTTACCTCAAGCAGCTCCCAGAAGCAGCGGCATGTCCCCCCTCCGGCTTTTACACGGAGGCGTGACCAGACAGTTCTGTACTCTGCCCTGTCCGCAGTCACCGCCCCTGCAGCTCCCATGGGCCTCAGTTCCTGGCCAATGTGGGGGCAGCGTGCGGCGCCCCTTGGCTGCCCCTACGCATAGGAGCCGGAGGGAGGACATGCCACTGGTTCTGGGAGCCGTGCAGAGAGGGGCAAGCCCTCAACCCGACTCACCAGCTGGAGCACCGGAGCGGGGCAAGCCCCGAGACCCCACTCCCCCGCTGGAGCTCGAGGGCCAGATTAAAACATTCGGAGGGTTAGCCTCTGGATTGGGGACAAATATACGTGTGGGGAGGAGGTTTCTATGGGGTTAGGTGGTGTTGAGGATTTTTATCCCCCAACGCATAGGGCACTCTGGCCCAAATTTTCAATGGATACAGATAGAGGTGTGCATACAATTTAGCAAGTGTCTGACCAGAATATGCACACACAGGGCCCAGTGCATGAGCACAAGGCTGCTTGGAGATGTGCACGTGCATACAGCTATGTGTGCATATAAAGTGTTGAATATGCCAATTTGAAACTGTAGGTCTTGGTTATATGAGTAGGTCTTAGTTATATGAGTACTTAGAGGGTACTATCGCCTCTTCCACTTTGAACCACTGCTGTGTTAGGGCTGCAAGAATCAATTTTGCTTAATTTTGGTTCAATAAAGTTGCAACTGTTTGACCACTTTCTAAATAAAATGTGTTGGCCCCCCTTTATTTTCTTTCCCCAGCAAGTAAAGCAATATATCAAAATACAAATATACATGACATAGAATATCCATAGTATGTTGGTGCCATTTCTACAGTGGTATTAATTGGAAAAGTTGATGACAATATCCAATTATTTATTTATAATCTAGATTGATATTGATAATGTTTCCCTCTCATCAACATTTATCTTGTATGACCTTTCTGTCTTGGTAATACTAATCTAACTGTAGAATACATTTGACCCTCCAAGCTTATAATTTGAATTTTTAGATTAAAGCAGTTTATTAACTTCACTTGTAAAAAGGCATAGCTATGTCTTTCAAAATAAAAGACAATATTTCCTAACAACAAATTTAATAGACTCAGAATAAAAATAGAGATAGCAATTCAGGTTAGATGAGTTTATTTTGTCAGCAAAGTGTACTACTAGCTAGATGAACTGGCAGGTCTTGTTGTTAAAACAGTTTATCTCTGCAAAAAGTGTCAAGCTATACTCCACCCTCTCTGATGCTACAGTACCTGGGTTCCTACCTGTATTAGAACCCCTTCTGACACTCATATAATACTTGTATTACAGTATTCCAGATCACTGACTGTAAGCTTAAAGGGGCAAATTTTGGCCCTGTATGCTCAAACTTGACTTCTGTTGTCACTGGTGAGAGTTGTGCATGCCTAAGGGCAGAATTTGGTCAAAATTCTCTAATGAGGTGACCATGAATTTTGACATTGATTGCAATATTTTTTCTTGATACTATAGCATCTTGTATTTTATTTTATTCTTTCATTTATTCAAAATGTGTAGGCCACTTTACATAGTGTCACTTAATAAACAGCAGCAAAATACTATTTGCTCAGATCAGAATGACTGAAAAGTACAAATGGACTGATGATGAGATACTTGACCCACATGAGTGTAAAGGTATTCTCTAAATAGCCCGCTTATTGGCAGTTACTTTAAACAAATGAAGGATATATTTTTTTCTCCTTCATTGCAAGAAGTGGCTCTGGAGAGTGGCAGTATATCCAGGAATTTAGTCTGTGATGAGATTCCCTGAAGAACTGGTTTTGTTGATGTTACTGTACTCTCAAGAAAGACAATATTCATTATTGTAATTTACACCTACAGCCACATAGTATTATACTCAAATTATTCAAATGGATTATTTTGCCACACACTGTCTCTCTCTCTCTACACGTCTCTCCCGCTCCAGAGTTCCTGAGGCATTTTGCCATGGAGTGGAGGCATATCTAGTGGGACTGCAGAGAGGGCTGATGTTCTGTGTTCTACAAGAATATCCTGTAGATCTCAGAACATTTGGGAGGTTGGCTGTGGCATCAACTACTCCTAGGTCCTCCTCCCCATGGCAGCATGGGTCTTGAGTAAGCCAGAGCCTTTGCCTTACTTTTACTTATAGAGTAATAAAAGACTACTTGCTGGGCATGACTCTAGGAAGTTAACAAGGATCTCATTAACTCTCACAAAAATTTTCGTGAGGGTATGCCAGGAGATGATGCTGCATAAACTTACTTTCCATTGGCTCTCCCTTCCTTCAGCTGGCTATCCAAGTTGTAGAGTCTCAGCAGCACTGCATTCCCTCACATGGGCATCCATAAGCTTGGGGAAGTTGGACAGGAAGAAGGGGTGGGAGATTTTCTACTTTAGCATCTCCCCCTTCCCTCCAGCAGTTTCAGAGACAATAGAGTAGGATTTCTACTTTTTTCATCCCCTCCTTTCATTCAGGAGATGACATGACCCCAAATCTGGTTACACTGACATATCTACATGGAGATAATAAAACATATTTAATTTATTTACAGCTTCTGTTCAAAAAGTCTTGTTAGTAAATTTTCTCTTCAGCTGTTTTCTCCCCGCCCCTCACACCATAGTAAATGGTCTGTACACACAAGTGTAATACTTGAAAAGTTCTCAATAGTAAGCTTGCAGTAAACAAATTGTCAATGTGTATTATAAGTATAGAAATCATGCTGGTTAAAAGTAAAATTGTATTTTATTTTTGACCTTAGTGTGAACATATAGAGTTAAGTTGTGCCTGGTCTTGTGAAGATGCACAAGGATGGAGAGGGCACAAAGAGCTTTCTGTCCCCCTGATAATTTGCACTGGGTCTGTGCACAGTTCTGATCCTTGCACACTGAGCACGTGGACATGGGGATTGAAATCCTGGCCCTGTTGAATCATAGAATCATAGAATATTAGGGTTGGAAGAGACCTCAGGAGGACATCTAGTCCAATCTCCTGCTCAAAGCAGGACCAACACCAATTAAATCATCCCAGCAAAGGCTTTGTCAAATCGGGCCTTAAAAACCTCGAAGGATGGAGAGTCCGCCACCTCCCTAGGTAACCCATTCCAGTGCTTCACCACCCTCCTAGTGAAATAGTGTTTCCTAATGTCCAACCTAGACCTCCCCCCACTGCAACTTGAGACCACTGCTTCTTGTTCTGTCATCTGCCACCACTGAGAACAGCTTAGCTCCATCCTCTTTGGAACCCACCCTTCAGGTAATTGAAGGCTGCTATCAAATCCCCCCTCACTCTTCTCTTCTGCAGACCAAATAAACCCAGTTCCCTCAGCCTCCCCTTGTAAGTCATGTGCCCCAGACCCCTAACCATTTTCATTGCCCTCTGCTGGACTCGCTCCAATTTGTCCACATCCCTTCTGTATTGGGGGACCAAAACTGGACGCAATACTCCAGGTGTGGCCTCAGCAGTGCCGATTAGAGGGGAATAATCACTTCCCTCGATCTGCTGGCCATGCTCCTACGAATACAGCCCAAGATGCCATTGGCCTTCTTGGCAACAAGGGTACACTGCTGACTCATATCCAGCTTCTCGTCCACTGTAACCCCTAGGTCCTTTTCTGCCGAACTGCTGCTTAGCCAGTCGGTCCCCAGCCTGTAGCGGTGCATGGGATTCTTCCTTCCTAAGTGCAGGACTCTGCATTTGTCCTTGTTGAACCTCATCAGATTTTTTTTGGCCCACAGCAAATTTCTGTTGAAGTCCACAGCAAAATGCCCATTGATTTTGAAATCCTAGCCCCATTTAATCCAATGGGAATTTTGCCATTGACTTAAACATGGCCAGGATTTCACCCAGGGTCTCCACTGCCAATTGCATCACTATATAACCCAAAGAGGACAGTGAGAGGGCAGAATTTGTAGTGCCAGCCCAGTGTACTGTATGGATATGGTGCATACTGCACCTCTTCCAAGAATATAGCAATGGCCAAACACTCCTGGTGCTCCTGGAAGCATTGTGCCCACTTAGACTGCAATGCCTGTGGGAGCGCTCCCTGTTGTGGGATGTTTTAACACCACTTGCTAGTGCGGATTGTTGTTCGCAGCCACAGTTTTGGCCCAGGGGAGTTACAAGTGAGTTACATTGGTTATTCCAAAAGAGTAGATATGAAAATGAAAATCAAGATACCTTTTTCCATAATAGTATATTTTGTATGCACTGCTGAAGGCACATTTTGCCATACGCGAACAGTAGGCATTCTGCAGTCTCATTTTCAGATATGGCTGGAAATAACAGTGAAAATAATCACACCTAAAGTGTGAGATAACACATGATTCTCAGGTTTGTGATGTCACAGGCCTGTTCTATTCCTGTTTTAAAGGAAATGCTTGGGTTTAATGAGTGAGATTAATAAAATCTCTCTCACACACATATATATGGCTATATACTCACTTGCATATACCACCCACCCACCCACCTACCCCAGTTTTAAAAACATGGACTTCTTACTAGGATGTCTAAATCCTGCATTTGGATGCCCAGATTGGGATTTAGGTACATAAAATGGACAATTACATCTCTAAATTCCAATCTGAGCATCCAAATGCAGGATCTGGATAGCTTATTAAGGAGCCTACATTGAAAATTCATGTTTAAAATCAATCATGAAAAATGTACTCTTTTGAAATTACATTATAAGAAACAAATGTAATTGTTTGGAGAAATCTTATATTGCAGTTTCTCCACACAAGTATTAATGAACTAGCTCCTCAGCTGTGCCAGAATGGTGCTTGGTGCAGCTGGGTGGCCCAAAGTTGGCTGGAGCCAGCAGGGGGATGGGTCAGTTTTCACTGAAGGTTGGAGCAGCCTAAAGGCCCAAGGGGCCATTCACTGTCAGGGACAGTTAGACTGCAGCAGCACTCAGGCCATTCTCCCCTTTCCCTGGCCGCACTCCTAGGCTGGGAGGAGGGGGAGTATAGGGTTGTCTATACTGCCTCCACATATGTGGATTCCTGTATACTGCAGGAATCCCCATATAGCTGTTTTTAAAGCTGCTTTGCACCACTAGAGCAGTGCAAAGCAGTCTTGATAAGGGCTATCATCTGGCCCAATATATTCACTATGCTCCCCGAATGTGATAGCCATGAGGAAGATTTCAAAGCTCTGTCACTCCTTACTAATGGAACTGCTCCCACTTCCTCAAACTTTAAGCCTGCCTTCTGATATGCTGGTATATTTGCTATATATTGTGTAAAATCAACTTTAGTACTTGTATTCACAGTTACAATCATTGATTTTATTAGCTACATAGTGGTACATACCAATATGTTGGAGAGTAAAACTGTCCCTTATTAGTTTCTAGTATTTTTAAGCCAGTTGTATCTTTTGTGTTATAATTTAAAGAAAACAACAAAACAAAACCCAAATCACCACATGGTATAATTTTTTCACATCTTGATTCCTCCTGAGTAAAACAAATCTCTCTCTTTGTATCTGTTCTTTTCAGATCATGAAGAGCTCTGTGGCACCAGTTATGGATCTTTTTGTCTAAATGGCGGGATTTGTTATATGATCCCTACTGTATCCAGTCCATTTTGCAGGTGAGTGAAATTTAAGCTTGTATGTTCACACATTGGATTTAGCTATTGGAAGGACAGATACTATGCTAGTTTAACAATATTTCTTTAAAGAAATATAGCATGTTAGGTGAAAATGTGTATGTGTCCATGGCTGTTGTAAATATGTTTGTATGTGCAAATTCAGCAGTTCTTGATCATGTGGTTTAATGTTAATGTTTCTGTCTGGTCCATGGAAAGGGGAATGGTTTCAAACCCTGTGTATACTTGGGGAAAAAAATTGGTGGATGAGGCAGTACCCATTTATGTACTCAGAATTCAGATTGGTATCTATAATTCAGAGCTTTATACTCCCCTCCTCTTGTGCAGTACAGAAGGGAGAAAAATGCCCTTAATCTCACAGAGAAGAGACTGGAGGAAGGGCATACAGAGAGGCAATAATGGATACAAGTGTATTCCCTCCTCTCCTACACATTATATAGCAAAGTGTTATAATATAAAAAGGGTGTGGCTTGAACAAAATAGGGAGAAGACAGCATATTTACTTGGGGGGGGGAAATGTAATGGAGGCCAAAAGTATAAGTGAAGGCTGTTTGTGCTCTATGAACCCAATTAAAAGAATCACAAAGCACAGCTTCAGGGGGACAGCTAAAAAAGCCACTTGACAAAAAAGCAGCATAGTAGCTGTGGATGCTCTGCTCATATGACAGAGGTTTATAGTGCTTGGGGAAAGCTAATACGTGACCTCCAGGAGGGGATCATGTAACAGAATGTGGAAAGACCTAACACTGCCTATCTTTGCAGATAAGATCTCCCCTTCCACATGTAAAAACAGCTGCTATCTATTTGCCAAATCACCCATCAGAGACACAAGAAGAAAAGGTTACCCAGTATATTATTTTAGGTCTGCTTTTGCTAATTTTAAACTATTCTTCATTTGAGATAAGAGAACTGGCTAACTTAAATGGTTCAATTGGCAAGCTGGCACTTACACTGAAAGCTTATGTTTATGGATGTTAGAACATTAGGGCTCTCTTTCCCTCACGCTTGGTGACTTCTGTTCCCCATTCCCTGGTGGCTTCTTTCAGCCTTCAGATGTAATAGGAGTAATGGGTTGAAATATTTAGGAAGAAAAAAACAAAACAGAAAAACTTTTAATGGTGAGATCTGTTAAACTGTGAATAATCTCACTTCGGACATTCCAATCTAAAATAGACGAAATCCTGAAGATTAGACTGCAGGGAACAATCCTGCATTGTTTTTTAAGGGATAATTATATGATCTCATAAAAGTTTTACATTTCTTACTTTTATATTTTCTAGCCACAGTAGATATGCATATATTAACTATTTCTTCTAAAATTATTAGCAGTGGAATAGTTAATAAAGTTGACATTTTAATCAGCATAATTAGGCTTCAGAATTAACTTCTACTGAAATAGGTCAATCCACCTCTCAGCTATTGTTAAAGAGGTCAATAGATTCAGCAAAACAGTGCTGCTAATTGTCACATTTGAAAGATTTCAGCCCTAAGGGTTAGAAACTTAATTTATTTTAAATGAAAACCTAAATTCTTCTGAAATTTACAGGCCCACCAGAGAACTATTAAACCACTGTTATGGTCCATTCTGTCTCTCTTCTAGCCCTGTTACTAATTGGTTCCTGAATTTTCAAAACCTTGCATGAGATTTTAGCCATATAATTCAAATCAATGGAAAATGCATAGCTAAAACTCTCCATCACACTTTGAAAAATGTAGGGATATTACCCGCTGTATGTAGAAGTCTTGTAACTTAAAATTAAAACATCATATACTTTGACACAGCCCATCAGAACAGAGAAATTTCACAATTGTTAATCGATACATTTTATAGAAAAAAGCAAGAAGAACACAGGGTAACATACATGTGGAAAATTCTTTAACAGGATTTCAATAATTATTAAATCTTTAATTTTCTAATTTATATGAAGTTAGCCTTTGTACCCTATTTATTTCCAAAGATCTTAATGTGCTATCAGTTAATTTATTGTTACAGTGTTGTAGACTCATTGGTTCCAAGATACTAGAGAGATAAGGTAGAAGAAATAATATCTTTTATTAGACCACTTATGTTGGTGAAGAGACAGGCTTTCGAGCTACAAAGAGCCTGACCTGAAGAAGAGCTCCATGTAGCTCCAAAGCTTGTCTCTTTCACCAACAGAAGTTGGTCCAGTAAAATATTGATTTGTGATTTTTAAAAAGTGCCTGTGTCTACATTAAAAAAATTACCAATTTCTTCAAGTACATACATCCATTCAAGGTTAATCAAAATCAACAACTTAATCTCCTTCTTACTCCTTGAATTAAGACTCAGTTTTCTTGTGAGATAGGTAATAAATATTCTAACTTTACAGATGGATAAACTGAGGGTCAGAGTGATTAGTAGTGTGCTCAAGGGTGCCCTCCGAGTCTTTTGAGGTTCTACTACCAAATTGAAGATTGGGTGGAAGTAATTTCCCTGCCTGTAGTGGACAGTGTTAAAATTTAACTGTAACTGGCTAAGCTTTGCCAGAGATTACTTATCCTTGAGGCTGAAAACAAAGGAACAGACAAACAAAAACCTTCTGAAGTGCATATTTTTGCCTTTGGAATGTACTAGATTACACCAAATCATAGCTATATTCAGCAAATGTCTCTGGGAAGGATGCATCCAAAAGCCTGTAATAAGTCTTCACACAATCAATCCCCAGTTCTATTTCAAATTACACAAATTGAGCACTGTGCTATATCGTCAGTAATTCAAGACCTAGTGCTGGAACCCTTATTCACACACTACTTGACGTAAGTGGGCCTACTCACAATTGTGACCTCAGTATATTTTTCTTGGAACAAAAAAGTACAGACATTTCTAGTGAAATGTACATGATACAAACATGACACATTCTGTCACCTCTCTCCTTGATTATGGTTATGACAAAGGGTCTTTGTTCATTTGCTTTTTGCTCTTCCATTTGAATACACTATCCGGTCCCTCATCCTTCTCTGCAAGCACACGCACCTCTGGTACATGGGTTTATCACATGCTAAGGGAGAACATTTTTGCAGGAAACTCTTGTTAAAATATTCACTGCGCATCACTGAGATTTATCCTTGAGGATAATTGTCCAGCATCATTGAGTGAATCAAATGCAGAGATAAGAATAGAATGTAGGAGTCCTGATTTCCAGGTCATTTGTTCTAGCTACTAGGCCACACTAACTCACATTATATAATTTAAATTAATGCAGAAGAATTGAAAATAAAAGTCTATCAAGAAAAATCCTTATTTTTGGTTAACTAGAAAGAAACCCTCCTTTCCAGCATTTTAATAGCTATAATAAGTAGGGGAAAAGTGGAACATTAAAATTAGATGTTGTCGGTTATACAACTTCAGATACAGTTTCAAAGCATTCTGTCTTAGGAATTGCCTAACCACAATATATAGTGAAGGAGGTGTATCTAATGTGATAACTGTATATTTGGAGTAACAGACTTCCTGAACAACTAATTCTTTAGCAATGCACGCTTGTAAGCATAGGTGATTTCCACTTTAAAAGGGTTCCAAATGGGGAATCTTATGTAAATCAGATACTGACTGGCACTAGGATATTTTACAATCTGGAAGGGCAAAAAGCTAACTTCTTTAGAGTATCTCTGTTGTACTCTAGCACTAAAAACTTATTTCTTCACTACCCCATTTCAACTTTGAAGTATTTTTCCTGTATATCTAATTGCGGCTTATCAATTTATATGAATTTAAATAGAAGCATTCTATTTAAGCATATTCTCATTCCAAGCATGTTCCTTAATCAGTCAGAGAAGATGGCTAATTATAAATGAGAAAGGTTCTGTTTACACACAGATATCTGAGTAATCAGCAGCGATGTGAATAGAAATAATAGGAAAAAAAGTGCATCACTGTGCAGTGGAATTAACAAAAATATTTGATTCTTTAAAACTTCCTTAAGACTGACATCACCAAGCAAGTGATCAAATTTTGTGTTTCTTATTCTTGCCTAGCTCCTCAAGGTGGCAGGGACCTGGTGTCACCATATAGTATAGACTCCAAGTTGCTCTAATATGACCAGCTGTGGCCAATGCAAAGAATGACTAAAGTTTAGGGCTTCAGAACCATATTCTCCAGGCCAAAGAATGAATCACTGACATGGCATCATTGATTGCAAAGGATTAAGAAAACAAAAATGTGGACCTGAAAACTATTTTAAAAGCGCTTAAAATACATTAATGTAAATAGATAGCACATTGTGATAAATGCCATGTTGCAAGCAGGGTTTATGCAGGATACATGATGCAATATAGTCTGTTGTAACTCTGCAAACTATGATCTGTGTCTAAAGTAGAATTGCATCATCCTTTAAAATAAATATGGCTCTTTTATAGAGGATTTATAGAGAAACTGATAGTTACCGTTTGCTCTTAAATATTTCACAGCTACTTTCACTTGGCAGAAGTGGATATTTGTATGTAATTGAACTAGGGTAGCACAAAAACTTTCTCTGCACAGCATAACATTTTCTGATTCTAAATGCACCTGGCATATGTTAATAGATTGTCAGCTGCCATCTTCACTTTGTGCCATTTCTAATACTGGCTTAATTTCTTCAGCAGCCAAAGGTGCACCTGTCGCCATACACAGGGTGAGATTCAACACTGAAGTAGCCAATTTAAAAAATATATATAAGTAACAAACACACAGAACATAATGTGAAATCCAAATGCCTCGGGTGTGTTGTAAAGCATGAGGCTGTTTGCTTGAGCACGAGATGTACAGCTGTCCCATTATCATTAACAAGCTGGAGAAGAGTACTAAGCTATGATTTTGTCATCTATGGTACAAATCTCATACTAAATTATTTCTTCTTTATTTTATCTTACATCTGTGCAGAGGAATTTGGATGCCCAGTTTTGGGCACTCAGACAAGAAAGGGAAGCAGAATGTGGGCAGTGCATGCTCTTTGAAAATCTCTGTGGATGGGAGTCCAGCT